GTTCGTGCTCTCCCCCTGTGTCCCTTTTCCCATCTCTATCTGCTCCCCACTTCTTGGTGGTTCTGTTTAGCGCCTGCTCCCACGCATTCAAAGCAGCTCTGTCTCCCCCTCACCCCCCCCCCCTGCGGCCAGCCGAGAAACTACATGCCCTGACACAGAGAGAAATTTTATTCAACAGCCCAGCATAGAAATGGCCCATTCATTCATCTTGCTGTGTCGCCCTAGCTCTTTCCAATCCCAGGGCTGCAGCCCACCCCCACTTTGACTCCTTCACATACTCTATGACTTTTGTGAGAGGAGGGGACGGTTATCAGCAGGGGAGGAGATAAACTTTCTCTCTTGGAGGAAAAGCCCCTCAGGCAGGCTTGATCTGGGCATGGGAGAGGGGGAGACAGCTTTGAGCTGGGCAAGCATTACTTTCCAGGCATGAGGCTGCAGTGAAGCCCCTCTGGACGGGTAAAGAAGGGGGAGGGGGGCGAGCTGCGGGTCCCAGCCCAATTTCACTCATCAGACACAAGGGAGAACTTTTCTTAAAGGAACCATGTCCTTTGATTTGTTACCCTGCCCAGCACTAAGGGGGTCTGCAGCTGGTTTCTCCTGGCTGAAGGGGGAGCACAGGTCCTGGGGGAAACACCAGGGTGGGCTGAGAGAAGCTGGCTCAGTCCTTGAGAAAGCCCCCAGCCCATACTCTCCCCAGCAGCCCCCTGGAGCCAGCTGAGAAGCTGCCCGCCCATCTCCCCCCAACCCCCTGCCAAGAAGCTGCCCACCCCTCTGAAGCTAGCCCAGAAGCTGCCGTGCCCTGGCTGCTGGTCCCACCTAACCCAGCTCCCTCTACCCTGAAAATCAGAAAGACTCACTCACCTCCGCCTGCAGTCTGGGAGCTTCAGTAGTGACAGGAGAAACAGCTGATAGGCAGGGACTTCCCGCCAAACAGCTGATTAGCTGCAGCCAGCCAAAGAGCTGATGAGGGCTGCTGCAGCATGCTAAATAGCTGATTGGCAGTTGCCTGATCTCCGGGGAGGGTGTGCTAAGCAGCCTCTTCCTCCTCCCCACTACGAGCCTCCAGCGGGGGAGGAGCAGCCTTAGCAGCCTTCCCAGACTGAGCTCAGGCATGATTAGGGTGTACCTGGGCACACCCCGTTTGCACGCCTATGACTCATAACCATTCAAGTAGGCAGTAAGATCCTGTGAGGAGAGAGGGTATCACTGTTGGATCAGGCTGACAGTGCATCACACTGTCCAGCTTACTCAGTGCTATGGGAAGGGGGTCTGTGGCAAAGGACTGGCCCTAGAAGCAGTGATTTGTGAGGTCAGGACATTATGCTTCTAAGCCAGCCCTATGGTTTTCATAGATTCTAGGACTGGAAGGGACCTCGAGAGGTCATCGAGTCCAGTCCCCTGCCCGCATGGCAGGACCAAATACTGTCTGATAGACATTTATCTAACCTACTCTTAAATATCTCCAGAGATGGAGATTCCACAACCTCCCTAGGCAGTTTATTCCAGTGTTTAACCACCCTGATAGTT